TTTGACCAATAATGCCATAATAAAAAAAATTCAAGTATGATTGACCATCCATGTAGTATTCCTTTTTTGTTATTTCCGCAAACAAAATTTGTTTCTATTTTCTTTTCTTTATCTTTTAATGATTATTAATAAAGGTCCACAAGATGCTTTGGCGTACGACAAGTAAGAGACAAATGGTTTGTACCACATTGATATCATGAAGATTATGTTTTCTTAATCTAATCTTCATCACTCTTATTATCCTTATAATCCCACTTCTAGTAGTTCTAAGTTTTCTTAAAATGACCATTTTTCACATGTCCTCAACCATCATAATGACCTCGACTGCGTCCATAACCACGGCCACGGTTATGGTGATGCCTTTATTTTTCTACTATAAGATATTGCATTCATTTTAGAGAATGGCTTGGCACAAGTAGGACGAGACACATGATTTTTTATTAGCAATTCATTGTTTTGCTCGACCACAAGAAAACAAGATATTGACTCAGAATATTTCTTAAAACCATTTTCACGATTGTGTCTGCAAGATAACATTATTTACATGAAAAGTGGAGTATATTTTTTCTAACATATCCTCATTGGTGATACTCTGACCACATAATTTTAATTGTGAAGTAATTTGAAACATAGTTGAGTTATATTCGCTTACCGATTTAAAATCTTGTAATCTCAAATGCAACCAATCATATCAAGCTTTAGGAAGTATATCAGTTTTTTTGGTGGTTATACCTTTCCTTTAGATTATCCCAAAGAACAAGGGAATTTTTAACAGTTAAATATTAATATTTTAGTCCCTCATGGAGGTGACGACGAAGATGTTTTGAGAAGATTTTTTATTTCCTTCCTAAATAGTGTCGCCTAGACCATTTGCATCTAGATGTATTTCGGCATCTAAAATCCATGACAAATAGTTCTTTCCGGAAATGTTTAGAGCCACGAATTCTAATTTTGTAAGATTTGCCATTAATATACTATCATAAAACAAACAAATTAATTAAAATAAATGATAAATATTATTAATAATTATTAATTCATGTAAACTTTAATAATAGATAAATTGATCAAAAACATAATAAATATTCAACGATTTAAATATTAAAGAAAGTAAGTTAAACGACATGAAATGTTTAATTTTTTAATTATTTAAAACTATTCAATGGCATAAACTTGATCAAAAGTTAATAATTTTAAGAAAATAAAGCAATAAAATCTATTTTGATTTAGCATTGAATTGTGGGAACTTTTAGAAGTAAAAATGACATGATTCTTTCATTCAATGACATGAACTTTCGAGAAAAATAAACTTAATTAAAGATAAGATAATTTACCTCAGATTAGACAGAGATAATACTTGATCTTTAGTAAGAAAATTTTTTGAACAAATTCGTACTGACAATGCATTATGAAATTATAGAAATACATCACACAATATAAGAATGAATAGTAATCTTTTATTACTCATTATTATAAGGTTGTACAAACACTCTTTATATAGGCTCAAAAGTCATAGGTTACTAGAACCATATATTACAACAATTAATCTTTGAGTTATCATACATTAAGTATAAAAGATGAAACATCCACTTAGATGAATATCATTTATAACAAATACATATTATTTTAATAAATATTTTTCATTCTTTCATACCACGTAAAATTTAAAAGCTATTTTTTAAGAATTGAATATAGAACTTATGTATTTAATTACAAATCATTTATTAATGCATCTAAGATTATTTGTTAAGTAAATTCTGATATATATATTTATAAAAATATTTATTTTATTCACACCGTAAATCATTCACAATATATATATTGAATAACGAGGAAAGACAAACGTCTTTAGTTCAAAATACTGTTGCTAGAGTCCTCACAGCAACTGTGTACCTCTGCAGGACCTTGGTCATAAACAGGCACGTATTTGAGATTTTGGTGGCTCTAGACGAATTTAAAAAATATGACCTCTAATAAAAATGGTTGTCCTTTGTTTCCATATGTAATGGGGTAAGGAAGAGGTAAGATAGTAGGCTGCCCCAACACTAAGTTAAGAGCAGCTTCCGTAGGAGGCCTCCGAATTATTAAAATACCCTCCATGAGACTTGATCTCACGACCTCAATGTTAAGAACCTTGTGCTCTACCAACTGAGCTGGATGGTCATTTAAAAATATGACCTCTAATAATAAATATTAAAAAAATAAATTTAAATATACAAAAATTTACCTAAAATTCTCTTTTGTGATTTTACTAATTTTTGTATTCTTTTTCTTTTTTTCTTTTTAACTACCAGAAGCATGTTTTCACAATAACATTATACCATAAAAATATGTAGCAAAAAATATAGAATGATAGCATCTAAATATTGTCCTTGAAGTTTTATCTCACTTTTAGTTAAATTAATTGACGATGTAATATACTCTCACCTACATTTCATAATTAACAAAAGAAAACAATAAAAAAATAGAATTGACAACTACAAACTACAAACATAATAAAAAAAATCAGAATATACATAAGTAAAATCAAAACACAATCATAAATTGATAAAATATATTTAACTTAGTTTAACTGGCTTTTAACCTTTGCATCTTAATTGACAACCACATTCAAACTCTAATATAAGAAAATATCAAAAAGAGACTTAGCAACTTTCAAAAAAAAATATAATCCAAACAAAATAACAAATTTTTTTGAACATACGACTCATTATATAAATAAAAGAGAACAACCATTGAACATAAATATAGTTTATTGATTACATCCAGAGCAAAGGAAAACTAAGAGAATGATCATTAATAATGACTCTATTAAATAAAACAAAAATTGAAATAATATTCACTTTTAAAATTTTACTTTTGGGTTATTTTCATGGTTGTAATTCTTGATCTTTGTATCTTTTTATTAATGAATGATCAGTACTAATATTTAAAAAGAAAAAAAAGTATAAGCATTAATTATTTATAATTTAAAACTGAATACGCCAATTTCGCCTCGCCATCTCCAACACGTGTGGAGTCATCATAGATGCGTTCCCCATTTTCTGTTCACCTCTGTGTACATTAATTGCCTCCGTGCTCTCGGTTTCCCATTTCCTGTTCACAATATAATATTTTTGAAACATATATTTTAGTTTGATGTCACTTAATTTAATGATACCATCTTAATTTGAAAAATACACTTAAATTAAAATAAAAAATAAAAAAATATATGTTAATACATATATTTATACTATTTATGAACTTCCATGCAAAGTGAAGTATGCGTACCTAAAAATGCCAAGCTTCAACGTTCTCTGGGATTTGCATCGAACTTCAACAAAATTTTAAGAATTAGATAAATATTAGATTTTGTGGACTACTTTGACATTAGTATAATTAAAAAAATGTTTAGCTTTGTAAAATATGTGTATATAAATCAAAATTCATTTCAATATATTAACATCCACAATAAGAATAATTAGTCAATATTTTCCTTTTTATTATTATTTCATTATTATATTACTATATAATATTGAAATTATTTATTATATTTATAATTTCGAACTTAAAATTTTTGAATATGTTCATTTTAAAATATATACTTTTAACAAGAACAATAAGTTGGATTTTATTAAAAGTAAGGAAAGAGGCAACAAATTTAACACATCCTAATATAAAGAGAACCTTGGGGACTATGACTATTAAGAAAGTTCATGAAGATAAAAAAAATTATGAACCCCCAAAAGACGTGAATAAAACACACATTAATTCTTCCTTAAATCCCCTTGTCTCTATCCTAACGTAAAAGTATTGATGTAAAAGTGATGATAGAGAGAAATTTAAAAGAAATTCCAATAATAATATCGAAGAGTACGTGTTAGGGTGAAATTTTAGAATTGGAGGACAAAAAGAGAGAGAGAGAGAGAGAGAGTGCGTGTTGAATTCTTTTTAAAAAAAATTGAAAAGTTTTGTTAACTTTGTAAGTTATAATATTATAGTTGCATCCATAAACTATCACAAATGAGAGTTTAATCATATTAATCACCAACTTTTATTTGACTAAAATATATGTTACATTAAATGTTTCACGAATGATAAATTATTACAAAATATCTAAACGTATCAAAAAAAATAAACTATCCCAATTAATTAGTTTTATTAGCCAAATAATTCAGACGGAAATTATTTAGGAAAATATATGTTAAAAATTAATTTGGAATCTATGTTATTTGTTACAATGTACTTGAAACTCGTTATATGAAACGAGTTTCATAAACAATAATAAATATTTAGAACTCATTATGTGGAAGTGATGAGTTTATACAATTTTCATTCAGCCCACACGATGAGTATTATTTTTTAATATATTTTATGAAACTCATTGTATGAGCATAACAAATTTCATATGTATTATAATAAATAATCTAAATTCGAAATTAATTTTTAAATACCTATATTTCTTAAAAAAAATACTACCCACAACATTTTTTAAATTTTATTGCAATTAATTTTTTGCCCTATAGAAAAACTATCTCAAAGAAAACACTGCCTCAAGGTTATAGATTAAATACATTTAAATCCACAACATTGAAGGGGGGAAAAACCAAATACCGATGCCTATAGGTCAACGTCTCTATACATCAGATCCCAATTAATTATTCCCCGTTTTTTCATTGAATTTTCCTAAGAAGATGAATTTATTAATAAAGCAGATTATTTATAAATGTGGATTACTAGGTTGATTGTTTCAATTAATTAATATATTAATCTCTTTCTTCTTCTATAAATACCCATTCTGTTGTTCCATTATCTTACACTCGTCTCTCTCAGTGGCTACCTCGCCATACATGATGCATTTTAGCGATCTAACTTCCTTTTCTGGGTTATATCTATAAATCCAAGAATCTTCTTAAATTAATCTCGGGTTTAAGTTTGTTAGCTCAGATTCAAGAACCTTCACAATTTTGGTCCTGAAAATTGTTAAGTTCTTGCCTTTAACATTTCTGGGTTTTGAGCCGTTTTTCGTTCGATTCGTTCTTCCTTTTTCTTGGACGATGGTTTGCCTGGTTTCTCGCACGGGAAGGGACTTGCAGCGATACGACAACCTCGGCCGCCGTCAAGTTGTCGGGTGAGTGTGGCGTCCTGTTTTGGACTTACCGTCTTTTTCACCATGAAGATTTTCCTGGAATTTTTCTTTTGAGGGGGTTTGTTATTTGTTCTTTGAATTTTTGGTCAGATTTTGCATGCTACGACTCCGTCCTTTGAAAAATTCATAATTGCCATGAATAATTAAAAAGGGTCATCATTTTCATGGATTTTTGATAAATTTCCAGGTGCATCCCGTACAGATACAGATGTAACAGTGATGGAACTTTGAGTAATGACTTGGAGGCTCTTGTAATATCCTCACAAAAATGCCAGAAAATGATGTTCCCCAAGGTACACCCAAATTTTATTATTTTTTTTATTTTAAAAAAATCATATTCTAGAAGAAAAAACCCTTATGTATGAACCTCTTGCTTTCAATTATCAGGGTGGTTGGGAACTTGATGAATCCAGAGAAGAAGCTGCTTTAAGAGAGTCAATTGAAGAAGCTGGTGTTATAGGCAAGGTTGAGGTCGGTATTATAATTTATTTAACTCTTAAATCCTATAAAACAAATACCCAATGATTGATCTTGAACTAATTGTCTATATTTATTTGTACTTGAAAAAAAAAACAGTGCGAATTGGGGAAATGGGACTTTTTAAGCAAACGCCATGGAACATTTTATGAAGGTTACATGTTCCCTTTGCTTGTGGAGGAGGAACTTGCGTTCTGGCCGGAACAACATCTAAGAAAACGGACTTGGGTAACCTAACCACTCTCTATTACTTTTTATATATTTGAAGATTATAGCTTTAAACTCGTATTCGAATACATATCGGACAAGTGTTTAATTGTGTGGTTCTTTTCTTAATATTTTTGTTTAGATGGGTGTGAAAGAAGCAAGGGATGTGTGCCAGCATTGGTGGATGAAAGAAGCCTTAGACATACTGCTTGAAAGGCTGCAGCAAAACAAGGAACAAAATACCACAAGTTGTTTGTAAATTGGACATTTTCACCCACATGTGTGCGGCGCTCCGATACTTGTCCCATTGGAATGATTCAACCCTCCCCCAATGACAAGTTCAACTTCAATTATTATTATCATTAACCAAACTACTCTTGTGGTAAAAAAATTATTGTTATTCTTTGAAATTTTGAGTTCGACCATCAGGAATGTCGAGAGTGTAAACGTTCAATATCAAATGGTTGAGAATTATCTTTAAAAAAAATGTTACTTTATACTTATCCCAGATTTATAAAAAAATTAAATTATTAATATATTTAAAAAAACCTTTTTTTTTAATAATTTAAATATAATTCTGTTTAAATTTAATTTTGAAAATATATTCAAAAATTAATTTAAAAATTTATTGTTATTATTAAATTGGAAATAAAACCAATCCAAATAGATTGAGGATAGCGATTAGCGAAAATAAATTAGAAAGATAATTTTGGGTTTTAGCCCATCGAGCGCTTAACCTCTGTATTTACGGTTCATGTTTAACTCTAATATGCATTTATGGGTGTTTTTCGAGTGAATCGATTATGAATTAAGTAGTGTTTGATTCGATTTAAAAATTTTCTTATCCTACTTATAAGAGAGGAAAAAAAGATACTCTAAGAAAAGAGAGATAAGTATTTTTAGTGAGTCTAAAACTTATAACCTAAAGAAATAAAGATGAACAATTTGACGGCCACATGTGTTTGCTATTGTTTTTGAAAATATATGTAAAATCTAGTAGTAACGTATAAAGTTTATATAAACATAAATTAATCAATTTGACAAAAAAAATCAAAAAGTATGAAGTAATTCTAAAATCTAAAATAATACTTCACAAATACATCAAAGTAACATATTACAATCAAAACAAAATATTACAATTAAAGTAACACTATAAATATATCAAACGAACATATTACAATCATTTTTAAACTTTTTAACAATATATAATCAACCTTTAAAAAAAATAATATCTTAAAAAATTAATGAAGTACTCACAAACATATCAAATCAATTATTCATCAAATCAAACTCAAACAACTCAACTCAAATAATTTATAATTTATAATTTATATTTTATTGATTTAAAATAAACTTTCGATTGTGTTGAGGAGGTAGGAAACGATATCTTAGATCGCGAGAGAGATGGGTAATATACGGCGTTGTCGGATACATTAAAAGATATTTAATAAATTCAGTTTAGCACTACCTATTATGTTGACAGACTAATAATGTTGTAGGTAGAAAACATAAAAAACAATTAAAAAAATTGGTAACCGGTAAACTTTGGTTATCGTTAAGTATCGATACATATATATAAGTGTCCATACTTATTTCACTGTGGAAAACATTAATTTAAGGTTATCTTTTGAGTGAGTTTTAAGATATTAATTTAGTAATTATAAACTTCTAATGATTTATTTTTATGTTACGGTATATATTATTATTAAATTAAAAATAATAAACATAGATATTACATATTTATTATTATCTTTGATTAAAATTGTTAAATTTAAATTCTAAATAATATTTTATAAAATATCTAAACAATCAAATAATTTTTTGTGTAAATAAAATTATTAAATTAATATTGTAAGTGGAAAACATGAAGCTCTATTAAAAAATTTTGAAACATAAATTACATAATTTTCAAATAAGTATTGATACATGTACAAAAAGTATCGATACTTTCGACATATCCGGTAGCTCTTTATCGTTTTTGTCAAAATGAAATTGATTTTGTCATATTTTTACCTGTTATATTGTAAAGTATCGATACATTTTATAAAGTATCGTTACTTTCAACATATCTGGTAGTTCTTTACCGGTTTTGTCATAATGAAACTGGTTTGTCATATTTTTACGTGTTATATTGTAAAGTATCGATACTTTCAACATATCCGGTAGCTCTTTACTAGTTTTGTCATAATGAAACTAGTTTTGTCATATTTTTACTTGTTATATTGTAAAGTATTGATACATTTTTATAAAGTATCGACACTTTCAACATATCTGGTAACTCTTTACCGGTTTTGTCATAATGAAACTGATTTTTTCATATTTTTACCTGTTATATTGTAAAGTATCGATACATGTACAAAAAGTATCGATACTTTTAACATATTTGGTAGCTCTTTACCAGTTTTGTCATAATGAAACTGATTTTGTCATATTTTTACCTGTTATATTGTTATGTATCGATACATTTTTATAAAGTATCGATACTTTATAGGCGCTATTACTGTTTTTCTTTTAAATTTCAAAAGTGTCGATACTCATTTAAATGGAATCGATACTTTCTACATATCCGGTATGTAGTTTAATGTAATAGGTAGTGCCAATTTTTTTTACCATTTATATTATTAGCAACCTTCAAAATAATCGGTAGGTATTTTAATGTAATATGTAGCGCTATTTTTTTACCGTTTACATTATTAGCAACCTTCAAAAAATCGGTAGGTATTTTAATGTAATAGGTAACGCCTATTTTTTTTTTATCGTTTACATTATTAACAACCTTAAAAAAACCTGTAAGTATTTTAATGTAATAGGTAGTTTAAATTTTGTTAACATTTATTCCTAAGGTAAGTTTATTATAACTGATAACAAATTAAATAAGTAATTACCTATTTTGTTATTTTTAGATTTCTAAGTCCCCATCAGCTTTAATAATGCGCAACCTATTACGTTACATAAGCGCTACCTAATATGTTATTATGCTTGATAATGTTTCCTATAATTAATCGGTTATGTTATCATTGACAACATTTTAGGAGTTTACCTAATATGTTGTAATAACAAATTAAGTAATTAACCTATTTTATTATATAAGCGCTACCTATTACGTTATATAAGCGATACCTAATATGTTATTGTGCTTGATAATGTTTCTAGTAATTAACCGGTTATGCTATCCTTGTTAACATTTTAGGCATTTACCTAATATGTTGTAATAACAAATTAAGTAATTAACCTATTTTATTATATAAGCGCTACATATTACGTTATATAAGCACTATCTAATATGTTATTGTGCTTGATAATGTTTCCAGTAATTAACCGGTTATGTTATCATTAGTAACATTTTAGGCGTTTATCTAATATGTTGTAATAACAAATTAAGTAATTAAAATATTTTATTATATAAACATTACTTATTACATTATATAAACGCTATCTAATATATTATTATATTTGATAATATTTTTGATTAAATAATATAACTTAATCGATATACATTTTAATCAGTCATGTTGTTTTTTAGTCTTTTTTTTTTTTTAACCGCCGCAACTTCCCGAGAGAGAACATAAGAGAGTTTACATGAATTATATAAGGGCGAGTCTGCAATTGTTCAAGTGGTTTGGGTAATTTGGGTATAGATTATATAAGCGGAGCCTGCAACTGTCCAAGGGACTTGATTCTTGGAATATTTATTGTCAGAATAGGTAAAACGTATCTTTCTTATAAATATCATTATTCCAATTTAAGTAATTCTGAACAACCTTCGATGCCTTATTTTATTTATTTGTACAATTTTATTACAAGAACTGTAATAACCATTTAAGTTATTGAGAATGTTTTTTCAAACGAAATTTTCAAAAATAAAAGTATTGTTTTTATAGTTTCTTGATTTGAGTCAATAATCAATTTTCAAATATAATTTTTTAACTGAAAATGAAATATTTAAAATTATTTTTACATTTCCAATACATTTTTAAGTCAAAAATATTTCGATAAGCATCCCAAACAACCTCTAGAGAGATCAAAACCTGACAAGTATATGCCAGACATAGGAGCTATTGTCAGTTTGTCACTTGTGGGGTACAATGAGCAACTTCCATGACCACTATTTAGTAGGGTTGAGCGTTTGATCGATTCGATTCGAGTGGAGTTAAAAAATTTTGAGTTATTTGAGTTGACGAGTCGTATTTTACAATTCGGATATGACTTGAAATTTTTTCGAGTCCAACTTATAAAATTCGAGTCGAGTCGGTTTTTCAAGTTTATGTTTAAATTTAATTGTAAATATTTATAATATTATAATATTATTTTATTTCAATTTAAGTGACTTTCTATAACCATATATACAATATAAATATATTTCTTCATATTTTTTTCATACGTGATATAAATATATCATAAAATCCAAAGACTCGAATCAAACTTGAAAATAAATCTACTAATTACTAAAAAATTCCAGTTATTCGAGTTGCATTTTACAACTCGGTTTGAACTTGAAATTTTTCCGAGTATAGTCGAGTTTATGAAATTGTAACTCAAAGTTAAGTCGAATCGAGTCGAAAAATTCAGTTTTTTGAATCAAGTCGAGTCGAGTTTTGCTCACACCTACTATTTGAGCCTTAAAATTTTGCTGTATGGATCCCAAACCTTAATTATAGTGTTGGATCTAAGCCCATATTCAAAGTTGACATGTATTTTTAAGTTGACAATTTTTTTAGGCTTTAAAAGTTTTCTTCTATGGATCCCTAACCACTCCTCTTACCATTTATTAAAGTCAAATTCTTCTGTTAGTCATTAGTCTACGAATAGGTTGTAGATCTAATCTTTATACTTCAATTTAGGCATAATATTAAAATTAACTCTCAACGTTTATTAAAATGATCATTTTAGCTCATTTTTTTTAGAATTTTGGGCCAAAATGTTTTATTTTAGGGCAAAAAGCCTCCAACGTTTTACTCAACAGTCACTTTGAATCTTATTCTTTTTTGAAGCATTTTGGTCTCCAATGTTTCAATTTAAGATAAAAATAGTCATAACATTTGATTGAATAGTCACTCTAACTTGCATTTTTATGGAGTATTTTGACCATCAACGTTTCATTTTAGGATAAAATTCCCCTATTTTGAAGTGTTAATCGTTTGTTAACTAACGTTTTTCATTTACTGAAGGGCTTTTTTTTCCTAAAATAAAACATTAGGGGCAAAATTTTTAAAAAATTAGAGACCAAAATGACCATTTTGATAAACGTTGGAGATTAGATTTAACATTATAACTTTAATTTAATAATTTTTATCCCTATACTTTTTAAAACTTGAATTTCAGAAATGAAATAATATCCCACTTCTAATTTTATGGAAGCTAGACTTGGCTCAAACCTCTCCCTGATTTGGAAGAGTATTTGGAGTACGCCTACAATATACCTGGCCTACTGATGGTTCTCTCATTTTTCCCCCTTCTCATGGTTTTCCCATATCGAGCATACTCATAAATTTATTTTATTTCCCTCCTTTCCTCTTTTAGGTTTTCTAGCCAACCAAACAAACCTATAAGTTTCGACATTGTCACCTGTAGAAAGTATTGGTAGAGGCTTAAAAATAAAACAAATTATACAATGATAACATTTAAAATTATTTCTAACTGTATATCAAGATTGACTCCGATACCTAGAAATATAATGGTTTGAATTGAGTTTAATCTTTCTATTTTAGTTTGTTGTATTTGTTCAATTATAAGCACTACTTGATTGGATTTTAGAAAATATATATATATATATATATATATATATATATATATATATATATAAGTTATGATATATTCTAAAAAGATCAAGCAACATTTAATCCCAAATTCAATAATTTTTTTAATTCCGAAAAGGAATCAAATCACGATGATTTTTATATTTTAGTTCTGGAGGGAATCAAAACCTAATCATTTTGAATAAAGAGAAACCCAATTTCTAATTTAAATCTATAAATGGTTCCACTTCCCTCAAGATTTGTCTTTCCCATGAATGAAAGGAACTAAAATAGTGTCATAAATTTATTATTAATATGATTTAAAAAACAATTTAATCTTTTGTTTATAAGGTGTTAAATTATTAAATATGAATACGTAATTTATGTTTTCAACAATAATAATAATAATAATAATAATAATAATAATAATAATAATAATAATGTTGCACAAATAAAGTGGCTTTCGTATAAAAGAATTATTGTTATTCATTGAAGACCCGGGTTTGAGCATCATAGATGTCAGGGGTGTGAGTGTTCAATGTCGGAAGATTAAGAATTATCTTTAAACATATATTATATTTTACTTATACTAATTAATCAATAATAATAATAATAATAATAATAATAATAATAATAATAATGATGATGATGATGATGATAATATGATGATGATTATGAATATGTTGAGAGAGTGAACACGAAAAACGAGTTGGGAGAGGATGTGAAGACAAATGGCATAAAAGATGCGTGTGGCTTTTCCAGATAAGGTGTTTGCTTTTTATTGCTGTAAAGCAACGGCAACCAAGAAACTATCTCCTCCTTTGGTGTATGTTCACATTGGGTCACCTACTCTTCTTTTGTGTGTATATATATATATGTGTGTGTGGAAAGCCTGTTTGTCATCTTATTTGTTTGTACGTAATCCCCCAAGGTTTCCTCAGCCATGTCTTCTTCGTTGCCATCTAAAGATTTCGAAGAGGGTATGCTCATATATATACACTGCAATATTTTCTTTTTATTGAATCCATGATTTAAAGATGTGGAAATGCTGGAGTAGGTAATGCTTATGATGATGATGATGAAGGCCAAGGGAGAGGATTGGTTTCTGGGGAAAACGTTCTGCAAAAACATGTTGCGTTCTTCGACAGAAATCACGATGGCTTTGTTTATCCATGGGAGACTTTTGCAGGTTTTTATTCTTTTAGTATTTTGTTTCAATCACTTTTTGGAATTCATTTTAACTACTTTTCCAAAAGGTTTTCGAGCGATCGGTGCTGGTTATTTACTGTCTTTGCTCAGTTCCTTCCTTATCAACGCCGCCCTCAGTCGCAAGACTCGCTCAGTAAGCTCTCATTTTCTATATATGATTTGTTTCCTTTTGCGTACATTTCTGTGTCTCAGATTAATTGCATTTTCTTCTCCTTCCTTTGCTCACAAATATCTTGTGATTTTTTGACTCCTAAAACTAGGGATTTCAATTATCAGACTACTTCAATTAGGGATTCATCAACATTTTAGTTATAATTGTTTCCTTTATTTGCCTTCCAGATTTTTAAAGTATTATTGGAAATATATAAAATACTAATAGTTTGGTGTGGGAGACGGTGAACTCTAAATTTTTGGTTCAATCATTCCTGGGATACCTCTTAAATTTAAAACTAAATAAATTAAGTACATCCAATTTGAGTTCAATTATTTCCTAGGTCACTCTTAGTTTTAAACTAAACAATTTAAGTCCTTCCAAATTTTCGTGTTCAATTACTTTCTAGATCTCTATTAATTTTAAAATTAGACAAATTAAACTTTACCCTATATTAGTTTAAATATTTTTTAATTCCCTGTCGATTTTGAAATTAACTAAATTAAGCATTGCCCTTATTTTTTGTTTAAATACTTTTTAAATTTATGTCAATTTCAAGATTAAATAATAATATTAAAATTTTAAAATTACTTAAAGACATTAAAAACTAATGGATTAATTTTTTTATTATTTGTATTCCTGATGTTTTATCCTATTCTTGGTTGTGCTAGTTATCGGCGAAGAAAATTGAATAAAATTAATGTGCAGTGATATATTTGCATGTAGGGAAAATCTCTTTCTCTTGATTCTCTTATGCTTCCCATCGAGGTTAAGAATATCCAGTTTGCGAAGCATGGGAGCGACTCTGGTGCATATGACAGTGAAGGGAGGTACGTAAATCAGAACAAATAGATTTAATAATTTCTTCCCACGATTGTTATATGCATACCTAACCCTGAATTTGCATAAATATGTATCTGAAAATTGTATGTATGTTAGGTTTGTGCCCTCCAAGTTCGAACGAATCTTCACCCAATTCGCTCGTACTCATCCTGATGCCTTAACGTCCGATGAACTGTCCGCAATGCTCAAGGCTAACAGGGAACCCCAGGATTACAGAGGATGGTAAGAGGCCTCCTCCCAAGAACTTCTTATTTCCATCACTATATATTTCGAATTCTCTGTGTCAAATTAAACCTTGAAGTTAAATTTAAGTACCTAATTGGGGAAAAAAGAGAGTAAGAAACAAATTGAACTTCAAAATTAAGTTCAGGTATCAAAATGTATATTTTCCTTTATTTCAATGTATGCATGTATGTATGTATTAGCAATAAGTGTAGAAATTAATGGAGAAAAAGAATGAAATGGCAGGGTTGCTAGCTTGACGGAGTGGAAGACTTTATACATGTTGTGCAAAGACGAACAAGGATTGCTGAGGAAGGAGACAATTAGAGGTGTTTACGATGGAAGCTTGTTTGAACAAATGGAGAGGGAAAGATCTGGAGCTGCCAAAAAGAAAGAGTAATTAATTACCTCATTATCATGCTTTTTTTACAATTACCAAATGGGTTTAATTAATTTGTGATTTTATAATGAATTGTTTCCCGGTAGTAAATTAATTAATGGTTGATGGGATTGGAGGAGTTAGAATCGGAATTCCCTTTTCTCTGTATTGTTCAAAAAACAAAACCCCAATTTCCAATTTCCAATATCCAATATCCAAAACAGTTGCCGCTCCCTTCATAAGTAGGCGTTATTAAGTTAAAACCAAAAATAATTTATTAGAATAGTAATCCCAAACAGTATTAATTGGAATTTTTTTTCTCAAACTGCACACATTAGTCTGCTTCGCGTCCTACAAAACACGTATCAAAGCCTCACATTATATAAATCACGAGATTCGTCTAATGTGGAAATACTTTTCAGAGAATGCAATTTAATGACATCACATTCTGTTAAACGTGAGGTCCTCGAGAATTTGATGCATCTCAACAATTTATCGTGTGTGGTATATACATTCAAGGGGTATTTTCCAGTAGTTAATCTAAATTTTTTCGTAATTTATAAGATTAGAGGCGTAGTATTAGAATTTATCTTTCATTTGAGTCCAATATCGACACATGCGAGATATTATAAGCGAGTTAAAATTGTGTTAAAAATGGTTTCAAAGCTTGTTTTCCGCATGAAGAAAAAGCTAAGATGATTTGATAGGCATATTTGATGCATAGTATTGTAACTTATCTTTTAATTGATGGTAATATCGGCACATAAGTAGGGATGGCAAATGGGCGGGTCGGGTGCAGATGCCCCATCCCCATACCTACCTAATATTTTTCAATCCACCATCCGCCTACCACCCATGATGGGTAAAAATTTTCAAATCCACACCCGCCATTGCGGGTACATTCTCAAATCCATCCCCACACCCACTACCCACGTAACCGGATCTTCGGTTTTCTTTTAGAAATTATAACTATGTTATCCAATAAGAAAATCTATATTGGATTAGAAAAGAAAGAAAACTATGTTTTTTAGTAAAACAAGAAAGTGCAATTGAATTACACGCATATGATTCAAGGACATTATATATTTATATTTTCCTATCATCTACTTTTTTTTAACTAAACTATTCCATCAAAATCATGAGAAAATATCATCGAATTTAACCAAAACAAAAGTTGAGAACAGTTAAGTTTTGTCAAAGCAAACTAAGATGATTTAAGATTTCCTAAAATAGCAGCTCTCCAGAAAGGAGAATACAACATAGGCCCTTTTTAAATGAGCAAAAAAAAATGCAGCTTTTTAACCATAAACGATAAGACAACCATATCATTACAAAGATTTCTTTTCAATGCATTTACTTATCATAAATAAATGTGAAAGATGTGGGTAGAACATTCATTTACTCCTCTATTTATATGTTAACGGTAAGAAAAGTAGTAAATTTGGTGTTTCATTTCAAGATATAGTTTAGGAGGTGCCTGAAACAGGATTCTCGATAGAGATTAGAAGCAAAAAAACAAATGATATTACTATACCGAACTAAAGAAGCTTACTTGACACATCCCAAAAAAAAGAAAAGATGCTTACTTGACTCTATATAAATTTTTTATGTCATTATTATAATGACAACTCTACAGTTAGTAAAAGATAAAAAAATATAAATTTAATTTCGGGGGACAAGAACAGGGGAAAGTAATATAGCACAAGGAAGACATTGAATCTCTTAACACTTAATTCTATTCAGTGGCGTTAAAAATAGAGGTTTGAGAAGCAACGATCTGACTCTGTTGGCCTAAAACGTGGGTGCTCAGTGACAAGATATTGTTTTGTAGAACATTAAGAAATTAAGCTTAAAACAAACATTGAGATGAATCTAAAAAATAATTAAAAATCAGTACGAGCAAATAAAATTTAAACTCTTAAAACGAAATGCAGAGGAGCTTAAAACGAAATGATTATGGAAATGGCTTTTATAAAATTAAATTTCAAGTAAAAAGGAAAGAAACGTACCTGAATAAGCTGGAGAGTGGAGACCAGATGTTTGAAAGATCGGTGCAGTAAGGAGAGGTTTGAAAGATCGGCACAGTAAGGAGAGGTTTGAAAGAAAAAAAATTATGAATAAACTTATCCCTAATATTTGGTTAAATTACAAGTTATATCTTATACAATATTAAGATATATAAATTAGTCTCTAAAATTACACCTAAATTCATAATGGTCCAAAATTTAATGGATATTTAACTGGGCGGGCGGATGCGGGGCGGGAAGATGCGGGGCGGGTAAGGTCTCAAACCCATTACCCGCCCACTACCCGCGACGGGTACCATTTTTTAAAGCCACACCCGCCCACTACCCACGAAAATTATACCCATCCCCGCCCCAATTAGAATGGGTGCGGTGCGGAATCCACGAAATTATACCCGTTTTCCATCCCTACACATAAGAAACATTGTAAGCAGGGTAAAAATCACGTTCAAAATGGTTCAAAAGCTTTGTTTTGTGCATAAAGAAAAAGATAAAATGGTTTGAAAGGCATGTTCGGGTAGTATTTTTGGGAAGTTAATATAAAATTTTTCGTAATTTATAAGGTTAGAGCCATAGAATTGGTACTTATGTTTCAATTGAAGCTTGTATTGGCATATACGAGACATTCTAAGCAGTGTAAAAATCATGTTAAAAATGGTTTGAAACGAAAAGAGAATGAAAACTAACGAATATATTTTGTTAATTACAAAAGTAGTACATAATTCCGGCTCTCTGGTTTTTTCTTTATGTTTGAGTAAATCCTCGTCACTGTAAATCCTAGTCATACCCTCCAATGTTATATTTATTTGGATTAATGGTCTATTTGATGGAAGAATATAACGCCACCAGAAGAGGGTACCTTTTTAGAAATCTCCCGATAAGTTTTTCAAATTCTATTTACGAGGAAGCCTTGGGTTCTTGAGTGAAGGTGTGTCATTTGTCAAATCAGCGCCACAAGCGATAAGTAGAGGATGCCACCAGAAGAGGATGTCTTCTTAGAAATGATAAGTTTCTTGAAAAGGTCAGGTTACTCATGTTGAAGAATGTTTATGACAAATATAATCAATTCTATGAATTGTTTAATCGATTTTACAAATATACCATACAAAAGACAATTTGAAGTACAAGTTGTAGAGGATGTCACCAGAAGAGGATTTCTTTTATAAATATTGTGGGTTTGATGAGAAAGACAGTTTTAATTAAATAAGAATTTTCTAGAGAATGCCATGTCTTTTATAAAAGGCACCATCTTCGGGTCGCATAACTTATAGCACCAATATTGACATAAGGATCTCTAAGTTTTGTGCCAAGTCATGCCACAAAAAGAGAAACCTCTCATATGTAGAGACCCATCGTTAAAATTTAGAATACCAGTAGAATAAGAAGGTTTAAATAGGCAACGCCCACGCGCTATGCACAATGTATTTCCATTGAGATTCCTGACCTAGCAGGAACCTTGCGCTATGTATAACGTAGATTTCTGATGCGGCAGAGATTCCTGACATATCGGCACCATTTGATTTGACATGGTAAGGGTCTCAGGTTCTAGAAGGCGTGAGATTTGAAGAAAATATATCTATAAAAACAAATGATAACCATGTTAGATGGATACCTTCGTAAAACAAATATTAATGGTGAGAATTTATGCCACTGTGTTCTAATCTGGAACTTATTTCTACACTTCCTTCAATGCTAAGATTAAGAAAGATGAGTTATGATTTAATTTCCATGGAGCTTAAAAATATACAATGCGATAGATGTCTTCGTTGCAAAAGAAAGTTTTCGTTGATGAGTCCGACCCTCAAGCACATTACATGTTAACCTTATCAAATGCAAGTGACTTTTGAAAGATGTTTAGGGGTTATACACGGTTGATGGTATGAACTCGGTTGTTACAAGACCATAAGGACGAAGAGGTAATTCTACTATGTTATGTCCGTAAACGTTGGGAGAAATAGTAAATAATTGAGGAACTGAACTTAACATTAGACATTTCTACATACTACGAAGAAATGAAATTAGACTCCACTTCAATTCACTTCAACTAACGGAAACTTCACGTAGTTCTTTTTTATTATTTTTATAAATTAATATTATATTAAATTTCGTAAAATATGATGGTTAATTTCTCGAATAAGCATGCGAATTAGATGGCATGAGGTTAGGATATTCTATAAACGAAGTATGTGGGTAGAAAACCTGTCTGGGTAGGATCTACTAAAGCATGATTGGGTACACCGCATATAGGTTAGGTTTTATCAACAAATTATATTATATCTGATTAATTCATTTATGATTACTAACCCATTTTCTCTTATCCTTTTGTTTTATTTTAATACCATTTTGCATTGCATTATTTATTCCATGCTATTAATCCTTGACCGATATCCATATAGGAGGCTAGTAATATGGAACGAATGATTCAAATTGAAGTAGAAAATAATGCAAACATTCTGAGATGGTTCGAGCAGTCCCAACAAACAAATTGAGGTAGTTTACAAACTGGGTCAGATCTGATTGGGTACACACACATTAATGACCGTCAAAATGACCTGATCACTAGCTACCTTCAACATGCTCAAGGAGTGGCTCAATACTTGGTTGACTTATAACATGAAGCAGATGTTGTAAGCAAAGGATTGGAGCCCGAGACTGAAGAAGCTCATAGGATCTTGGATTTACTAGGGCACATCCAACAATTAGGAGAGATAACTCAGATTTATCTGTGATATGTTTCAGCCTTGTAATCGAAATTCATTTTGAATATAAAAAGTTGTGATAAGGAATCAGTCTAGAATCAACACCTTGCATTGCATTGCATCAACATTGCATTTACTTTTCGTATTGCATTTTATTCATTAATAGTCAACTTTTTCATATTCATTAATAAAGTACCAATATTAATAAAAGGATATTGTGGTAGAGTTTCTGAAAGCCAATTGAAGTTACCCGGGGCATGTTTTTGGAAAGATCGAAAGCAATGAATGAAATATTAGCACGTGTT